TGCTTGTCTTGTGGCATAACCATGAGAGTCCAAATTATTCTTAAATTTAACAAACAGAAACAGTGGACTCTGGAGTTTTCAGAATGATTTAAACATGAACCATGAAGCAACCATAGTTTCCTTAACCCTTTAAAGCCTGATCCAAGAATAAAACAAAACAGAAAATTACTTATTTTTTGGTTTGAAGTCTTTATTTCAAATTGTTTATTTGCGATAAGTCAAGATTATTTTTTGTGTAGTCTTCTGCCCCCTGTTATCAGGTGTATCTGATTGTGTACAATAGGATTTTGAGCAAAGTTTTTACCATCAAATTATGCAAAAGGTGTCAGACGCAAAACACTTCAGAAACCGTATGAATCAAATATGATACATTTGGCATTATAGGGTTAACTAACTTGTCCCCGAACCTTTTCTTTTTAGCTGATATATAGCTGATGAATTCCCACTTTGCTGCTTTTTCTCTGCAGGAAAACAGACACTGAGTCACATGATGATGTCTGAAAAATCAGTATTCCCCCCCAGCCCTCTTAAATGAATTCCCCATGCATGTGGAACATATTGGGAAGGCCCTTCATCCTGATCCGGGTGCAGAAATTGAAATAAATGTGAGATTTACCCAGGCGTCACGCCTCGTCCTTCAGGTTTTTTACACATATAAACCTTTCTTACACATATGCAGAGCTAAAAAAGATCAAAATCAGAGGCAGAAATTCACACAACAGGCAAAAAACGTGCAACATTCGATTATAAAAGAGAGATTTCCCAAACCAAAAGCTGTCAAAATCCGTCTCAGGGGTTAAATTTCCTCTCATTTCTGGGTTCAAACAGCCGCTGACAGGTGAGTAATTAGCTGTGATCTCATTAACCATCAAACAAACGGAGACTAATCACCACGACTCCGTCTAATTAACTCACAGACTCTTTCGGGCATCTGTTGGTTAACGCTGTAATTAATTATCTCGGAGAGGTTTTCCGCCTAATCTCACGCTCGCAATCTGATCTGATCTGTTTCTCTTTTAAATCGTGATGAATAAGATGATTAAGGACTGCAGACTTGGCTCTGGTTGTGATCAGATACGCACAAAAGGAGACGATGACTGACTTTGACAAGTGTCCATCTCACCCGATTCTTCTCTTTCCTCTGTCACTCTTTGAGGATTTTAAAACTTTTTCCCAAAGATGGGGTCAGAATATGAGGCTGACCACGTGCTGCCAAGCTTGAAAGGTCTATTTAAGGTATTTTACAGAGAGATCAGAGCTAGAAGATGATTAAAAATGATAAAATAATAATAATAATAATAATAAAATAATGAAAATGAATAAAAAATGAATAAAAAATGAATAAAAAATGAATAAAAAATGAATAAAAAATGAATAAAAAATGAATAAA